CCCAAAACAATTTTATTTAAAAGCATAGTTTTTAACCATACTTTCTGCACAAAACAAATTTTCAAACTATACTTTCTTACAAAAATAGATTTCCTTAAACACGTAGTTTGTAACCCACACTTTCTTAATTAAAACGTTTTATGATTTTATCAATTTTCTACGAGCAGTTGTCAGAAATATGGTGAAAACGTGATTTGTAATAACGTTTCAGTTTATTTTAAAAATTCCATCCAAATTAAACCTAATTTAATAAATAAATTACTATTTTAACTTATTTCGAGAAAAGCCCCGTCCCGCATTAGTTGCTTTCCCATGTCCTGGAAATAAAGAAAATTCAGAAGGATGACATAAAAATTGAAATTAGTGTTGGGATTGTTTGTCGTAAATTATTGACATTAGGACCTAGAGCCCATCTGGTGTCCTTTGTTCCTTTGACTTCAGAGAAGAAAGGGATCAGTAGTTATCATCATAGTCATTTTTTTTTATAAATTAAATGTTATTTTATAAGTTTAAAACTATAATCGTATACAATATTAGGCTCTTAGTTTGGTAAATAAAAAAAATCAAAAAGTTAAAAAGTTACTTGATTCGTATTTAAGTCATATCATCTTATTAAGTTATATTACCTCTCTATTACATCACTTCAAACCCAACCCATACCTAACTCAATATTCATAAAAAGTCAAAAACACACTTATTTAGGACACCGCCAAACAATCCCTTAGTATTAGGGTATTTTGAATACATAATAAAAAATTAGGCTGTGTTTGTTTGTGTTTTAAAATATGATTCTACACTACGTTTTCAGTATGGTGTTTGAACGTGTTTTGGAAACACATTTCAAAACTCCTGCAGAGTTCTCTGCAGCAGCAGCGCTTTTCAGAATTTTTTTTTTTCAAAATTTGGCCTAACGGGACGTCAGGCCGGTTTACCGGAATAGTGATTTTTTTTTTTGCAATTGATATGTTAATTTTATATAATCAAAAAAAATATTTTTTTAAATTTTAAAGTTTTTTTGAGTGTTTTAAAATAATTTTGAATTGTAGTTTATTATGAGTTGTAAATTTTTGTATCAAATATCAAATGTCACATCAACAATTCCTCACTAAAATCAAAACTCTTCTCAAAACTATTTTCAAAACTCTTTATAAATTTTCTACACTCAAATCATAATTTCAAATCCCACAAACTCAAAATACAACGCATACTCTCAAATCATAATTACAAGACACAACCAAACGCAGGCTTAATTTTTAAATTTAACTTTTTAGTTAAGAAAGTCACAAAAAAAAGTTAGGTTCCGTTTGGTAAGCCTCTCAAATTATAGTTTCATCCATTAATTTGAGTGTGATGTGTTTTGAGCTTTCAAATCATAATTCTACACCCTATTTCTCAAACTCAATTCAAACATTAGAACACTAGTTTCAAGAACTTCGATAAACAATTTTTAGATTATTTAAATTATTTAAATATTTATGATTTAAATTTTTTGAATATTTATTTTGAAAAAAAAATATTTTTAATATTTTGATTTTCGGAATATTTTTAATATTCTTAATATTTTAATTTTCTAAATATTTTTAAAATATTTTTAATATTTTTAATGTTTATACAGACCTAAAAAATGAATTGACAAAAAAATGAATTGACATAAAATAATTGACATAGAAGTTATTTGGGAAAAAAAATTATTCAAAAAAATTACTTAAAAACAATTAATTGAAAAAAAAAATCATTTTTTTATTTGAGTATTTTAAAAATAGTTTAGTTATGACTGTTGATCAAAAATACGGATATCAAGTTATGAGTTGTGTGTTTGGTTATCAATTATAGGTTGAATTAAGTTTTGAAAACTCATCACCAAACAAATTTTCTTATTTCACATGTCACATCAAACTTTCAAAACTCAATTTCACATATAATTCAAAACTCAATTCAACACTCTATTCAAAAATCATAACCAAATAAATTTTCTACACTCAAATCATAATTTCACAACTTACAAATTCAAAATACAACTCATACTCTCAAATCATATTTATAAAATTCCATCAAACGCAACCTTAGTTTTTTTAGCATAAAAAAATAAAAAAATTACAAAAAAAAAATCAGAAAGTTAATTTTTTGTCAATTTCTCAAAACGCCAATTAGTATTGCTGAGAATGCCATAGTGTCTTTTTAAACTAACGAATCTTATTTTAAATTTTGCTACTTACATGCCTAGCAGTTGAGTTATTTTTATCTTTTTATTCTAATAATTTCGTTATATAAATGTTTTAGGTTAAATTTTCTTTAATTTCTGAAATTGAAAACTTAGTTACAAAAATATTAAGAAACTAATTCCATTTGTTAGTGAGTTGTTATGAAAAGACCGTCATGAAATTTTTTTTTTTTTTAAAAAAAAAGACTTTCATGCTACTTACATGCCTAGCAGTTGAGTTATTTTTATCTTTTTATTCTAATAATTTCGTTATATAAATGTTTTAGGTTAAATTTTCTTTAATTTCTGAAATTGAAAATTTAGTTACAAAAATATTAAGAAACTAATTCCATTTGTTAGTGAGTTGTTATGAAAAGACCGTCATGAAATTTTTTTTTTTTAAAAAAAAAAAAAGACTTTCAGCGAGATAATTTTGAAAATATCACTAATATTTAGATAAAAATTAATTTTTTAATGAATTATTTATTTTTTTAATAAAAATACTCAAAAGAATAATACTTCATTACAAAATGTAAAATTTCATCGTGAAAACTACAATAATGACATTTTGACAACTATTTTGATCCTAAAATGTGATTTCACCTCTAAATTTTTATTTCTAAAATCTTAATTTGTTATAGCGTCAAATATCGGAATTTCATTATGACAAATATTAACAAGTGTTTCATTTTCACAATAAATGAAATAGTTAAAAAATGCATTGAATTTGGTGAAAAAATTTCTCATAATTTTAAATTTCTTTACCTGTTTTGATGCCTCACTGACATTTGTTAACCAGACTTTTTGTTATTATTGCATGTCACACATGTTTAAAAAAAAAAGAAAAGAAAAAAAAAAAGAGAATAAAATTAGTATTAGCATCCATTGAATTTTACTGGAATGTGAACCTCCAATGAATATTTATTAATGCATGAAACCTCGGTAAAATATTATATTTTCATAACCAAATCCACAGCTTCTTACAGAGAGAGCTTGTTCTTCACGGCGACGCTAAAGATGTTTTGTCTGCCTTTTTACTAGTTCATGTGCGTCAATGCAGGAACTATCTATTCATTTTAATTTAGGCAGATTTTGTTTACCCATTCGATATTCAAATTTTTAGATTAGGTATTGGACTGAGAGAGGGTTGGGTTTAATGAGCTCATTTTAGAATAGAATTTGGTGATTCGAACATTTTATTTTTTTAAGATTAATTTAGTAGAATATTCATAAAAAAAATTTAAATTATCAAATATTGATAGTTATATATTTGAATCACATTTATTTGAAAAAAAATAAACAACATTTTTTGTAATACAAATGTGATTCAAATATATACCTATCAATATCCGATCATTTTAATTTTTTACATAAATATTTTACTCCATAAGTATTAAAAATTTAATGATTCAGATATCGATTTCTGCTCCAAAATGAAACTACCAATAAACATATTGTTTGTTATATATATATCAACATAAAAGTAATAAATAAATAAATAAGGTCATGCTAAAATTTATTTGGTGGCATCATTTCTGTAAATATTTAGGTCCAAATAAGGTTTCTCTCTTCTTTTTTTATTTATGGGTATGTAATTGTAAATTCTTCAGACCAAACAAATCTGTTACATATTAGGTCCCAAAAATAGCTTTTGTGAACCAATTTAAAATTTGAATTCACTACTTATCATGGATAAACACATTAGTCAAAATGAATCAAAATCAATAAAAGATATTAAAGAATAGTCTCCATTAGTGGGGAGGTTATTTTGTGATTTAAGAATAATATTTCACACCATTTAGCGTTAGTGTTAAGTTATTTTTCAAAATTCTAACAAAAAATACTGAATCACATAATTTCAACTAACAATATCAAGTAATGACACCATGTGACCTTGTCTGAAGACTAGCACATAAATTTTCTCCAAAACTGGTTAATTTTCACTACCTCACCACTCCTTATTTTGATATTGCAAGTTTCTTCAATCAGGTAAATTTAGACTAAACAAATTTGATGGACGAATTATTAATCTTTTGGTATTCATATTCATACCAACTCTGCATCATTACACAGGACCACCCTCTTCCCTCCAAATTAGCCTTAGATTCAAGCAATGTGAACCTTTTTGTTTAAAATTTCAAAGACCTCTTCCCAGCCATTGCATTTCATGCTTAATCTGGGAACAAATCTGTTAAATAGATCCTCAAAATGGAAAAAAATTTTAGTGTTGGGAGGGCAGATGCCACGTGGGATAAAAACCATTACATATATATCTGTTATACAAAACATATTTTATTGCTCCTATCTGGTTATTAATAGATTATTTGAAATCAAGCAGTGAGTGTGAATAATGAGATTTCACTATCACATGTGTGTCTCCCATACACAATCCTTATTTAGGAAATTTCCGGTCCAGTATCCAAACACCCCACAGCCACATGGAGATGTTATCAAACACCAACCAAATGACAAAAGCAACGCGTTTACGAGTATTCCCTGCAATTATACCGCTCTTTAATTACTTTCCACTCGTCCTAATCCACTTCCCCTTTGAATAGAGACATCGTCCTAATCCACTTCACCTTTGAAAAGAGTCAATCTCTGCATGAAAGTTTCTCAATTCTCACACATTTCACCTTCACACCCAGCAGCAGAAGCACTAGCATTTCCATGTGAACCCACACACTTTCCACACTTTTTGTGAAAATTCCCAGAAAACCTGTCTACTCTGTCATTTGTCACTCATGCCAGAGCCTACCACATCTCTCTCTCTCTCTCTCTCTCTCTCTCTCTCCATAAGAAAAATGTTCTCTCCTCTGTAGCAAAAAAAGGGTGAACAATGGCTTCGCAGAGGTCAACAACACTTGTTGCTCCGCTCTTCTTATTTGTGGTTAGTTGTGTCTCTGTTGTGAGTTGTACTCAAAGAGACGTCACCGTTTTACTCCGGGTTAAAAACGACGGACTCGACGACCCGCATGGTCGACTTGGTGATTGGGTCGAGACGACTCATAATGCTCCCTGCAACTGGACCGGGATTACCTGCGATCCGCACACTGGCGCAGTCATTGCGATTGACCTCTCCAGTCTCAACATCGCCGGGGGATTTCCGGCGGATTTTTGCCGTATTCCGACGCTCCGGTACCTCAGTCTCGCGGACAACATCCTCAACGGTTCTCTCTCTTCGATGTCCATCTCTTTCTGCTCTCACCTTCATTTCTTGAATCTGTCTTCCAACTATTTCGTCGGTGAATTGCCGGAGTTTGTGCCGGAGTTCGTCAACCTGACCACGCTCGATCTCAACTTGAACAACTTCACCGGCGATATTCCGGCAAGTTTCGGCAGGTTTCCGGTTCTCAAGGTGCTCAGGCTAGCGTATAACAATCTCAATGGCTCAATCCCTGAGTTCTTGACCAATCTCACTGAGTTGACACGGTTCGAGCTTGCTGGAAATCCTTTCAAGCCAGGTCCACTGCCTCTGGCAATCGGAAACCTGAGAAAACTTGAAAATATATGGATTCCAAGCGCTAGTCTCATCGGAAACATTCCAGACTCTATCGGAAATCTCGTTGCTCTTAAAAATCTCGATCTCTCCGTTAATCAACTCTCTGGTAAAATTCCCGGTAGCATTGGTGGATTGCAAAATGTACAACAAATTGAGCTATATCAAAACCAATTATCAGGTGAATTGCCTATTACTTTATCGAATTTGACTTCACTGCTCCAACTTGACGTTTCTCAGAACAATCTAACCGGAAAATTGCCGGAGGGTATCGCCGGTATGCCTCTCGCGGTACTCAATCTCAATGACAACAGTTTGGAAGGCGAAATTCCAGAAACCCTAGCTTCAAACCCTAATCTGTCGCAATTGAAACTCTTCAACAACAGATTTTCTGGTACATTGCCTGTGAATTTAGGCCGAAACTCCGATCTTAATGATATTGATGTCTCTGGTAACGAACTTGAAGGTTCATTGCCTCCGAATCTTTGTTACAGAAAGAAACTTCAACGACTACTCACTTTCGACAACAATTTCTCAGGTCCTATTCCCGATTCGTACAGTGATTGCAATACTCTTAATTACATACGTATCTACAATAACGAACTCTCTGGATCAGTACCTTTCTGGAATCTCTCAGAACTTCAATTCATTGAACTGAAAAACAATAAATTTGAAGGTTCGATTCCTCCTTCCATTTCCGATGCTCGAGGTTTAGCGAAAATATTGATCTCCGGCAACAGTTTCTCCGGCAGACTTCCATTGGAAATTTGCAAATTAGAAGAGCTTGTATTTGCCGATCTGAGTAGAAATCAATTTTTCGGCCAATTGCCTGGATGTATAACTGAATTGAATAAGTTACAGAAGTTGAAGCTGCAAGAGAACAAGTTCACCGGTGAAATTCCAGCGAGCGTTGGTTCTTGGAAAGAGCTTACGGAGCTGAATTTTTCGAATAACAATTTCGACGGTGAAATTCCGAGCGAGCTTGGGAGTTTGCCGTCGTTAACGAACTTGAATCTAGAAGGAAACTCACTTTCCGGCGAGATTCCGGCGGAGTTGACGAATCTGAAACTCAACGTGTTCAATGTCTCCAACAACAAACTTGAAGGTGAAGTGCCAAGTGGTTTCAACACTGAGTTTTATCTCCAGAGCCTAATGGGTAACCCGGGTCTATGCAGTCCGGATCTCAAACCACTCCCTCCATGCCCGAAATCCAAACCCAAACCCATTACCTTGTGTTTGATAGGAATTCTTGTGGCCTTGGTTTTGCTATTGATCGGGTCACTTATCTGGGTCCTCAAGATCAAAACTTTGAATCTACTTTTTAATAAGAGACATCATTCATTAGAAATAACCGCATTCCAACGGGTTGAGATTAATGAAGAAGGCGTGTTGGCTGCACTCACAAAGGAAAACCTAATCGGGTCAGGTGGATCGGGCCAGGTTTATAGAATGAAGCTCAAGAGCGGACAAATGGTGGCAGCTAAGAGGTTGTGGGGAGGTGGCAACCGATTAGTAGACTCAGAGGCAGTGTTCCGATCAGAGGTGGAGACATTGGGTAGAATCCGACATAGCAATGTTGTAAAACTGTTGTTGAGCTGTATCGGAGAGGATATTCAGATTTTGGTGTACGAGTACATGGAGAATGGGAGTTTAGGGGATGTATTGCACGGGGAGAAGGGTGGGGTGTTGTTAAATTGGCCTAAGAGGTTCTCAATCACAATTGGGGCAGCCCATGGGTTGGCCTATCTGCACCATGATTGTGTGCCACCTATTGTGCACCGAGATGTTAAGTCTAACAACATTTTGTTGGATGAGGATTTTAACCCACGAGTCGCTGATTTCGGGTTGGCCAAGACGTTGCAACATGATCTGATGGAGGAAGGCGGTGGTGGAGTGATGTCACGTGTTGCCGGTTCTTGTGGCTACATTGCGCCTGGTGAGTTTTTGCACCATGGTCTTGTCTTTGATATTTGTGCTTATTCATTTTTTTTTAAAGCATAGTTTAGATTTCAATGATATGATGTGTTAAATAATTAATTTCTTAATTAGGAGTTGATACTCTATCCCGTTATCCCTAATCTTTTTCGAGTTGCCTGATGTGTTAAATTAATTCTCTTTAATTAGGATTTAGCACTTCTTATGGTGGAGATAATATTTAAAATAAAAAGTCATAAAAAGTAACACTGACGATCTATGCAAAGGCAAAAATTTTTTTGAATTGAGAGACAAGAAAAATAGTACAGAGGAGTATTTGATTGAAGGAAATGTGTTTTTTCAATTATTATAATGTCCAATATATTGTATAATTTTGCTTTCTACTCCCTTTTATCCTGTGAACAATTTAAACCTCACAGTGTTGGTACTGATCGCAGAATATGCCTACACATTGAAAGTGAATGAGAAGAGTGATGTTTACAGTTTTGGCGTGGTGTTGTTGGAGCTCATAACCGGTAAGAGGCCAAACGATGACTCCTTGGGGGAGAACAAGGACATTGTGAAGTGGGTAACAGAGGTTGCACTATCATCTCCAGAAGAAGGAAAAGGCATAATAGGTTTGGGACAGCTTGTAGATCCGAGGATGGACCCATCAACAAGCAATTACGAAGAGATTGAGAAAGTCCTCAACGTTGCTCTACTTTGCACTTCTCCAATTCCCATGAACAGACCTTCCATGAGAAGGGTTGTTGAGTTGCTCAAACACCATACATTGGCTCATCAAAAGTGAGAAAATGTGCTGAGATTGTAGCAGCTGGTCGGCCTTTTTTTTTGCTCCTTTTTGGGTGGCATCTAATTTTTTAATTATTTTGGGGGGTGGTGTAGTTGTGCCAATGTAGCATGTAAAAGCTCTTTTCAGTTGAGAGAGTAGCCAAGGCAAGCTTGAATAGATTAATGCTCTTGGCATATTATTTGCATTACAGTTAACGTCTTTTTATGAATTTAGTTAGTAATTAGTGATTATATATATATATATATATGAAAAAGACCTAGACCTCCTTTTTCCCTCCACCCCTTGACCCCCTCTTGATCTAATTGGTCAGATTTTTTTTTTTTTTTTTTTCTTTTTCCATCAATAAATCTGAAACAGTGAAGGGAATGGAATTCAGAGACTCTCTATCAAAGCCCATATATATATATATATATATATATTCTTATGTAGTAGACATTCTTTGTCAATGTAATTAAGTACAAAAATCATATATATATATATATATATATATTCTTATGTAGTAGGCATTCTTTGTCAATGTAATTGAGTACAAAAATATGATTATATAATTGAGCTTATTCTCTTGTCTGCATGAACTTAAAAAAAATAGTAATATTGTTATATATGTTTATCTACTGAAGTTAAATATTTGAATTGTGTTTGACAGTTATTTGTAATATAATTAAAAAAAAAAAACATTTATGATATGTCTCGATCTTGAATCTTCAAGCAATATTTATTTCAATATATGTGATAAAGTAACTAGCTAGAAATATAAATTTCATCTTATTGACTTTCATAGATGAAAATTATATGTTCCAACGTGTAATTGAAAATGTAAAATTATACAAGACAAATCTATGTAATAAAACATGATGGTTTTTGAAAATATGTAAAATGTATCAGAGATACATTTTGAATCAATGGTCAATATCAATCCTAAATATATGTGAATGGTTCAGATATATTTTCTTCCCGCCCAAACATTAGCCTTCCCTTCCCACTTACCCACATCTCCTCCCAATCCCCTCCTTATCTCTCTCTTCCTCACTGTTCTCATGTCTCCTCTCTATTCCCTCTTTATCTCTGTCTCCCTCTTTGTTCTTCTTCTTTCACACCCTCCCTCTTGGCTTGCTCCTCTCAAACTCGGCTCACACCCCCCCGACGCTACTCTCTAGTTCTCCATCCCTAGATTTCTGCATCTCGAACTCGGCTCCCAAGGATTTCCAGCCCTCGATTTCTTTCTCTCCCCTTCTCTCTCTGTTTTTGTTTCTGTTTTTTAATTGTTTTAGTGGCTTCAAGGTTCTGATAATCAAACTCGCACTTGCAACCCTCCCTTTCGCTGCTCTCGAACTCAGCTCACAAGGTAAGATTGCAGATTGTTTCAGTCTTTTTTCCCTTTCAGTGTTGTTGCCTCTCCCCTTCTCTCTCTGTCAAGCTGTGATTGTTATAATCAAACAAGTTATTTTAGGGTTTTGTTTACGGGTCATTTAGTGTTTTTTTTTTAAAAAAAAAAAAATCAATCTAATACATTTTAGTTCACTGGAAACTTCCACAGCTTCTGAGTTTGTGAATTTTTTTAAGTTTGTAAAACTCCCACAATTTTTTGAGTTTGTGAATTTTTTTTCAAATAACAGGGTTTGGTCAAAACCTCCCACTTAAGGGCATTGTTTTTTCCAGTGATACAGTGTTGATGTGATAAAATTGTCACTTGGCTGGTTCTGTTTTTGATTAAATAGAATGATCATTGTAATTTTTTCCCCAGTTAAATTTTTGGGCATTGTAAAAATTAACTCAACTAATTGGTTGGGAGCTGAGGTAAGGTTTTTACTGATCCCATAAGCTTGAAATATTGAATTCTCTTGATCTCATCTCATAGATTTTAGAAGATAATAAGCCTGAAGATATGCAGGTAAGGATGTCTAAAGCCTACCTTTTTTCCTTCGCGTCTTTTCATTTTTGTGAGGTTCTTATTGAAGGTTTTCTTTGTTTACATTCTTTGCAGCCCATCCCCAATCACTCCTTATCTCTCTTTTCCTCTCTGTTCTCACGTCTCCTCTCTATTCCCTCTTTATCTCTGTCTCCCTCTTTGTTCTTCTTTTTTCACACCCTTTCTCTTGGCTTGCTCCTCTCAAACTCGGCTCACACCCCCCCGACGCTACTCTCTAGTTCTCCATCCCTAGATTTCTGCATCTCGAACTCGGCTCCCAAGGATTTCCAGCCCTCGATTTCTTTCTCTCCCCTTCTCTCTCTGTTTTTGTTTCTGTTTTTTAGTTGTTTTAGTGGCTTCAAGGTTCTGATAATCAAACTCGCACTTGCAACCCTCCCTTTCGCTACTCTCGAACTCAGCTCACAAGGTAAGATTGCAGATTGTTTCAGTCTTTTTTCCCTTTCAGTGTTGTTGCCTCTCCCCTTCTCTCTCTGTCAAGCTGTGATTGTTATAATCAAACAAGTTATTTTAGGGTTTTGTTTACGGGTCATTTAGTGTTTTTTTTTTTTAAAAAAAAAATCAATCTAATACGTTTTAGTTCACTGGAAACTTCCACAGCTTGTGAGTTTGTGAATTTTTTTAAGTTTGTGAAACTCCCACAATTTTTTGTGAAATTTTTTTCAAATAACAGGGTTTGGTCAAAACCTCCCACTTGAGGGCATTGTTTTTTCCAGTGATACAGTGTTGATGTGATAAAATTGTCACTTGGCTAGTTCTGTTTTTGATTAAATAGAATGATCATTGTAATTTTTTCCCCAGTTAAATTTTTGGGCATTGTAAAAATTAACTCAACTAATTGGTTGGGAGCTGAGGTAAGGTTTTTACTGATCCCATAAGCTTGAAATATTGAATTCTCTTGATCTCATCTCATAGATTTTAGAAGATAATAAGCCTGAAGATATGCAGGTAAGGATGTCTAAAGCCTACCTTTTTTCCTTCGCGTCTTTTCATTTTTGTGAGGTTCTTATTGAAGGTTTTCTTTGTTTACATTCTTTGCAGCCCATCCCCAATCAGAAAATCCACTGAAGATCTCTTTATGGTCTCCCTAACAGGTAAATCCCTCTATTTCTAACTAATTAAATTCTTTATTCTCTTTGGCTGTTGTAAACTCCCACAGCTTCTGAGTTTGTGAAACTCCCACAATTGTTTGAGTTTGTGAAATCTTTTTCAGATGACATTGTATTTTCCATAATATAATCAAATCCAATTTTTTGTCTTTCACTGGAAACTTCCACAGCTTCTGAGTTTGTGAAATTTTTTAAGTTTGTGAAACTCTCACAATTTTTTTTGTTTGTCAAATTTTTTCAGATAACATTGTATTTTCCAGTGATACAAGGTTTGGTCAAAATCTCCCACTTGAGGGCATTGTAAAAATTATATCTGATAACATTGCATTTTCCAGTGATGCAGTGTTGATGTGATAAAATTGTCACTTGGTTGGTTCTGTTTTATATTAAATTGTCACGACCCAAACCCACCCCTATGGGTTTAGCACCGTAACCGGCCAGTAATCCGAGATTACCGAAGGCCTGCTTAACAGTAAAACAGTAATACAGAGTACAGGGGTTGACGGAAGCCAAAACAGTAATTAAAAGATGTCCAATGAGCTGTGACAATCTGTATGCAAAAAGACTTTTTTAAAACATATTCACATTCAGAACAAAACAGTACTATACATACATATACAAACATTCGGGTTAGGGACCAAATCCCTACCATAACAGTACAGTACAAGTCTATACAGTCTATACAATACAGAGACAGAAAGGGAGAAAATCTAAAACGCCCCAAAGCAGTCTTGGCTTGGTGGTACATGGAACCTCGCAGTGGGGCACAATGGTTGGCTTGACAAAAAGGAAGTTTAACCCAACGCTCCTAGCTCCGATCCGGTGCCTGGACACTTACATATATATATAAACAGTGAGCTAAAGCCCAGTGAATAACAGTTGTGTAAAGAGGTTAAGGATAAATGTCCTTTCAGTATTTAAAACAGTTATTTAAACAGTATATCAATTATTCGATCATAGCAGTCATAAGTGGTACATCTCATAGCAAACAGTACAGTAGGTCTTAACAGACCGAACAGTTAGTCGATGGCCATCATATCAGTAGACAGTAGTGGTTCCAACATGGGAACCAACAGAGATCTCTGTAACAGTAGCAGTAACAGTTTAGTAACAGTAAATTGCTATGGATGCCACGAATACAATTCACAAATAGGACAAACATTCATTCAGTAAACAGGGTCATTTCATAAAGCAGTACAGTCATTTGTTCAGAAAATAATCTCAATTGAACATTTCTTTACAACATTGTTACTTACAGAGTTCTGGGCTACAAATAAGCTAGTACGCGTCCTCGGATGCCAACCTGTAGACGTCCCCGAACGCCCCGGGAGGATGAGTCCCGTTCTGTTCATTTGTGGGGTCACTACAGCTCAGACTCTCAAATTGTCACGGTTCTTAATCTTGAACCAAAGAGTTCAAATCCGGCAAATCGTTTTGAGAAACAGATTTTTTGAAAAGAAGTGCCAAACATGGACTGCTTTGCCAGATACAGAGTCGCCACCTAAATATTTTAAAATGAGAGAATTTAGGAAACCCTGACTCGGTGCCAAAGGCCACGTATCCGTCATCACGGAGTTGTCTCGGCTCGGGAGCTTAGGTACGATCGGGGAAGGTCAGCTATGAGCACCCCCTCTCGCCCGATCCGAAGATCGGCCTCTACTAACCGTGATATCCGTTTTTGAAAATATTATGTTTTCTTATTCCAATTATTAGCCTAGAATTACTACGTTATTGCGCCAAGCAAACAAGTATAGACTAGATTGCCTAATTTGGAAATAAACATTCATATCCATTTGTTTTGAAAAACGCTTTGGAATTTGCTACTCTCAAGTAGGCTAAAACACGGATTTCAACGAGTTTTTCCAACTCAAACAATCAACCTTCACCCACAGGCATTCAAACAATTTAACACATAAGCATTTAGCCGCATGGCAAGCATACTGTCATGGTAACACTCACACGCATACGGGATGCTAAAGCTAAAATACTCATATTGTTACTCGTGCTCAAAACAGTAAACTAGTTAGCAAATATGCATGTCCTAGTTCATGTTAAGAATGGCTAATGCATCGCATGCGAAAATGCAATCTAGACAGGCTCGGCCAACCCTAAACATGGCATGTGAAATGCGATCGATTGATGCACGTATTCAATTTTTAAATTGAAGTACAA